AGGACTCTCTGAGAAAGCAAAACAAATATTCGTCGAATTTAGAAAGAATGATTTGAATGCTTGTTTAAAGGAATCACCCTCAAGATGGCCTACCAATATGTTGGCAGCAAACTGTATGTACAGAGTATGTGAAACACTTCTTCAAAGTTCTGATAGGAAAGAGTTAGAGAATAGCAAAATCATGTTTGACAGATTGTTAACCATGATCGTGGATATAACAGGCGCTTGTCTTACCAACCTACAAAGAGTTATATCCATGCAATGCCACCATAGCACCATTGAAGAGAGAGCAAAAGGTGTCCGTTCTGCCATCTTACTTCTGGGAAAAGCAGAGAGTATTCTGGAAATTCTTCGTTCACAGCCACTTCCAAGTTCAGCACCAGATCAATTGGCAAAAATTGATCATTGGCGTACACATAGCAAAGAGGTAGACTGCCTCTCCTGCTGTAGTAATTCACCCTCAAACTATACTCCAACTTCCCAAAGTTCATCTGACTTGTATCTAACAGTGGACTAAGAAGCAAACACCTGAAAGTGAAAAGGAAAAAAGACAGGTTAAAGTCTATTATAATTTTGAGCAGTTGGCAGGACTGGAAGATAAGGAAGAAGCAAAAACAGATTTGGAAGACTCTGGAAATGGTTAGAGAGAAATCACAGGTGTTTCAAGGGAAAAGAGGAAACTGTCGCTTTTGTCAAATATAAACGAATTCAGAACTTGAAATTCTTGTGCAACGCTTCTTTTGTAAATGATATTTGATATGATGCTAGATTCCATCTAATCTTACAGTCATAAAGGATTCATGCTAGCAAGCTTTTGTATTATGAACAAATTTACTTATTTCTTTCCTACATAAAAAGAAGTATGGCTTCACATGTCTGTTGACAACACAAAAAAGATTTCATTCATTCGCACTCTTGTACCCGTACTGATGGATAGAAAAGATCGTATTGTATCCCTTCAGTAACATATGATAGAAGGACTTCACGGTAAATTGTTCGTTGCTAAGATCTTTCCACCTCAACATGTCTTGATCTGTACTGGTGATGCCTTGCTTGTACAGTAGAAGCTACAGAAAGTTCTGGAACTCCTCAAGTTCCCAGTGCTGTCGAACAGAGCTCCTCCTTGTATACTTGTATCAAGGCGAGATCTTTTGACTGGATATACAAAAGAATGCCAGGAAATCTAAACGAGGCATCATACCTCAAGTACCTTCGTTTGACTGGATATACTTGTATCAAGGAGAGATCTTTTGACTGGATATACAAAAGAGTGACAGGAAAGTTCTAAACGAGGCATCATACCTCAAGTACCTTCGTTTACATAAGTCAGCCCTAGCTCCATTTCCCAACTTAATATCTGATGGTGCTATCAAATTCCTCTCTTACCTTCATGAGTCCCTTCCACAAGTCTCCTCCCTTACCAATTCCACGGAAAGCAAGCCGGTTATCCAACTACTTTGAACTCGATATGCTACAGAGAATAAACCCAGCTCCGACTAAAGAAAATATCTAAGACAATTGTACGACCAAACCAGTTACATCTGAAATATATTGAGATCACTAAAATAAACATTGCTCCTTTATCTCACATTTGCACTGATCAACCTGTCAATGGATTCAGGCACCCACTGTTAAATCAAGATAACTCTGGGTAGAGATTATTAAGCCAATAATTGATTAAGATAAGACTTCAGCTAAGCTGTGGAATTTAAATCAATTATGACTTTTCACAATGAGGCAAGAGTTTGGTGATGAAGATAAGAGTATCGTGTTAATAATAATTTAATGCAGGAAAATATCCTCCTATCTGAAAGCACTACCAACCGAAGGCACAGCAGTGAGAAGTTGGAAAAGCCCATAGCATACACAGGAAATCACTAGAGATGCACCCCCCCCCCCCCCACACCTTTACTCAAAGCTGAAGATCCACATCACAATGCAAGCACCAAAAGGACTAAGAAACAACAGACTCACTAGCGCATAACTGGAGACTGACCTTTCCAAATCTAATTCTCTATTACGGTCACTGTGTGGTCTACCCCTCCATCCAACAAACAAAATCAAGCTGGCGTGGTAAACAAAAGAAACGAGAAGATAAATAGAGAGAATACCAATGTAGAGGAGCACTTTTATGTGGCTATCAACGATGCAGAATTATTTATATCAGGTCTCCAGAACCAAGAGGCCCCATCAGTTGGATCGTTGAAGAACATAACCATCTGGAGTGACACTGGAGCACATGGAAAATAAAGATTGCATGTACCTTAATTGAGAACTTCCATAAGAACAGCAGTTTACCGAAAGCTTCGAGACACGAAAAGAAAATGTTCATGCTCTGCATCTTTGCCAACAGACACAAAAGCATGAAACTTATTCCGTTAGAACCACTTGCACCCTTGAGTCAGATCTTAAATAAACAACCATGTATCCTTGACAACTGAGACCATACATAGGAAGAAATCCACCAATCTAAGCAAGCGTCCAAAAAAATCAAGATAAAATAAGACATTAATTGAAGCAATAAAACAATATTAGCACCAACGTTAGCACATAAGAAGAGAGACAAGAATACAAAAGGTTCTAGCTGTGCCCTGTTTGTGCCAAATTGGAATCTTATGGGTACACCAAAACGAAATAAGGGACAAGGGGTTATTCCTCAAATATGCAAAATAATTTTCTATTCCTTCAAACTCTTATTTCTTCGATACAATCCACATGAGTTCTAGTGGTGCATCATCCCACGCCTTCTGTCTTCTCATTCTTCTAAATGTCTAGGTGAACAGTGCTTCCTTCACGGTGCGTGGCATCATCCATTGAAGTCCGAACCATCTAAAGGTTTTCCATCACAAGCAAGATACTACCTCACTATGTAAATGGTGGTGGTCCACATCTTCGCCCAAACTCTTACACATAAAACCCCAACTGATATATGTAATCCTCCCGTTCCACAAGTTTTTAGCTGTCAAAATCTCTCTTTCACTGCCAACCAAGTGAAGTTCTTAACGCCCTGGGTCTCTGAATTGATTGGTGTGGGAAGGCTGATTCCTGAAAACTCCTTTAATACTACCCGCCAGGCTCTCACAAACTGAATGCAGAAATAACTCTGAAGTGCATCTGGTAATAAACAATAGGAATAAAGCTTTAGGCGAGGTTTTGCATTACCTCATCGCTCTCACATTGTAAAACTAGTTTCACATATGGACAGCTAATAAGTGGCTGGCAATGCCTAAATAAGATCTGAGAATCATTTTCAGTAAAACCTTCGCAACTTTTTCAACCAAAGGATTAATAAGCTTGCCAAAGTATCTGATACCAATTACTACTGAAAAGTAAATTAAGCTTAAGTTACACTCGGCCCTTCATAAAATCAACTCTTTCCTGCACAGAAATATCGTGTTTTAAACTAGTAAACAACCATTCAACCAAACCTTAACAGTGAATTTAATGCTCGATAACATGGATGCTAAAATCAATCTTAATGTGTGCAAATGCATCAATAGCACAAGTACAGTACCATAAGACACTGTCAGCTAGAATCAATGCTGATTTTAACCGCAAGCATACTGCGGAAGAACAAACATGTCCAGAGAAATTACTATCTGTTTCCTTTACTGCTTCATCACGTAAATTGTTTCAAGAGCTGCTAACTCTTTCTTGGTCAGGACTGGTTGCATATCTGAAACACCTGTTAGGTATTGCTGCATATATTTTCTGCTTAATCCCCAATGAAGAAAAAATTGTTTCATTGAATCCAGAAATTAATGGTCAGAACAGATATCTAAATGAGGTAAAAGATTATCAATTACATCTGCATGACTTAGGTATCACTCGCTGCGCAAAGATAAAAGTCATTCCATCACTTTGCACTTTTATACTGATATAGGCCGTTAAAGGTACCAATGGAGAATGAGCTCTTTTCTGCTGTCAGGAACAATTGCAGTATATAAGCAGGATGTAAGCTTTAGTAAACATCTGGTGGCTGTTTGTTAGCAACATACGTATTGAACTGCTCATAAACAGATGAAGTTCCTTGGAACAGTGGTAAATTGCAAATATTTTGATTTGTTTTTTTTATATAGTGTTGGAAATCATCATATTGACAAGACAAAAGATTCAGTCATACTCAAACAACAACTAGTTACATATTAATTACCATAACAAAAGCTTCATCAAGCACAAAAGTGCCACAGATCCAACTTGTTAAAAGATTGGGCTTTAGAGCCAGACCTGTCTTTTAGTGGCTTATTCAGAACCAGGTGCGTAAATCAAGATGTAGAAAGCATGCCAGGTCCAATTTTTTGGTACTTGTTTAATGTCTCCTCACTTGTATTTCGAGTCTAAAATGTAGTAAAATTCTATACTTATGTAGGATATTTCATAAGTTCAATTTGAGCCTAGAAGAATCCTCGGCTTATCATAGGACCTTTCATAAGATAGAGAACAGAAGTGTGCCCTCTACATGCATATGGTTGTTCCTTTCAATGGTCGCCTGGCGGTTTTAAAAAGATAAAAACACTGAAGTGAAATAAAATGCATTAACTTTGATTGTCGATGGCCCAAATTCATTAGCAAATCCATTTCGAGAGAAAAATAAACCACGTGTATAAGAGAATATTATAGCATGTAATGTCTCACTGTACATGTGATGTAGTCTTACAATTCCTCTTTATCCCTTTGACAAGTCGCGCTCGTTTCAGTACATTCTGAGATTGACTGTTAGCATGAGATAATAGGTTCATTAAATTCAAGCACATTCTCATATTTGACTGATCTCCTTCTCACCATTGGACTGATTAATCATTCACAATCCCCATCTTAAATTTATTCTCCCTTAACATTTAACACTTTAAAAATATTAATCAACTACGCCTCAATCTCAAATTAATCCGGAACGTATATATCTATTCATCACAATTCGGCCTACTTCATTTCTCAAATTAATCTTTTAAATGCACATATTAAAAGTAATAACAGGAAATCAACTCCAACTCACAACTGGCTAAACCAAAACAATTGAAAAGAAAAGTTCCTTTCAAATTTCATTGATGAATCGTATAAACAAAAACAATAAAAATTCAGCAAATTCTTCAAATTTCCAAAACTAAATCCTCCAAAAAAGAATCTAATTTGCTAACCCCTTCCCAATCCCAGCCATAGATGTTACAATAGTTAAAAAGTCAAAATACTAAGCACCTGTGTAATTAAAAAACGACGCCGTAAAGAACCGCTTACAAATCTTCATCATCTGCCCTCTTTTTGGGTTTACGATAATTCTCTTCAAGATGCTTGGCGATGACAAGGCCAGTGTTGACGAGCTTCTGGATATTGGGGACGTTGTAGTTTTGAGCCAAGTACACTCCGAAACCCGTACCCACAACGAACGAGAATGTGCTTTTGAAAAATCCCATTGAATTGAAGATCAAATTATTTGCTAATTGTTGAGGTTTAGGGTTTTTATGGAGAGATTGATGAAAGGGGAATTATAAAGGTTTGTGTTTGAGATTTGGCCCCTTCTCCAAGGTTCTTTGCTTCTATACTTGCGGAGGTGGAAATGTGGGACCCTATCTGAGTTTTGATGGACTACTTCAACGGATCAGTCCAAAAACTTCCAATGGGCTTTGCAGCCCAGCAACTGTGAGACTTAACGAGATTATACTAGAGGTGATTATTCATTTAAAAATTGGTTAGATAATAATTTTTTTAAAAATAGATCGAATATGGATAAGAACCATATTGTACAATTAGAAAATAGATAACCGATGGATAACTAATAGGTTTAACTTTTACATTTGTAAAGCCTCATATTGGGAGCTCCTCAAGTTTGAAAAACTAGTAATTCTCCCAAAAGTAATTATAGTGAAGTCGTGGATAATATGGATATCCATATTATATATCCATATTATCTGCCGGATAACTCGTTTTCCGTATTAAATATGGGTTGGGTCAGATAATTTATCCTCTTTTTTTTTTAAATATTCATTTTCGACCCGCTCATATCCGGAACGGCCTGCCCGTTGCCACCCCTAGGTTATAGATTAATTATAGACAATTATGTATATTATATATTCACTGATTATTTTTAGCTTAAATAGTTGAATGAGTGATTGTTTAAGTTGATTCTTCAATAAGGAGTTAAGTACAAGTTACTGGGGGAAATGCACAAATATCCGATTTTGGGGTTACTATTGGAGTTGCACTCTAACTTCATTCTTTTTGCAATCTTACCCGTTATGAATACTGGTCAAAATGTGATCAAAGGAATTATATCTAAGGAAGAGCAACCAAAAAGCAACCAAGCCGAAGTCGCGTGTAGGAAGCGATATGCGGGCAAGCGATTTAGCTACAATCGAGGTCGAGCACTCAATTCGGTCCGCACGGCCAGTTCAACACTTAGATATTCTAGAGGAATATTCTATGAAAAGGGCTTAGGTACTCCGAATAAGGACCGCTGGGTAAGGAAAGTGTTTGGTATAAATATCATAAGAAAGTGTGATATAAAGGGGGGGGGGGGGGGGCATAAAAACACAAATAGGGAGACATCACTAGAAAGATAAAAGAAGCTCTAAAAAATCTCAAGCTCCCAACCGAGAAAGGAGACGAGTGCTTAGAATATCGATATACACCTTAATTCTATTTTATCATAAGGACAGAGGGCGGTCTTGTTTGAGCATGATGATTCTTTTCCTTTATGTATTCTTCATTATCATTTGGTATTGTTGGAGCAATTATCCATTTTTTACATTGTGAGAGTCAATCGCTGTTGTAATCAAAATTTATGTTTAGTTGTGCTTATTTATTCCTATCATTTATCTCAGATCTAGAATTAATTATCTTTGGCTAAGATTTGCCCCAAATCTTTTTATTGAATTGGTTTAACTAAAAGGGCCTAACACTTTTTAGTCAAACAATTTGGCGCCGTCTGTGAGGAATTTTTCTCGCCAAAATTTTAGTTTCCTCTAGATCTAATGTCAGTCAAAGTTCCACTTCCTGGCTGTCATAGCCTCACCCCCTCATTACAAACACCAACTTGAAAAATTTGCAGGCAAGCTTTTGAAATAACCAAACCAACCAAGGTCAGATCTTTGTATGAAAGTTACGTTATGTTTGATATCTATACGTCTTGTTGTAGTGATGGGTTTGGTACGTCGTGAGTATGAGTTGTCGAAGTAGGATTATGGACACTACGCACCGAGCACGTCCACAATCCTACTAGCTATATTTACGTTAGATACTATACTTTGTGCACACTGCCCCCTCTCTTTTGGAAGGGACGATAGCCTATTGTGTAATTCTTTGAAATAACAAGTTTGTCCTGCCCGTACATACAGAGTATAACTTATGTTTCCCTTATTCTTGTGCAACTAGGACTAGATCGGACCAGGACTCGAACTCGAGATCCCAATGGGCAAAATAAGTTGCCAGCCCATAAGATGCCCAAACTCGAATAACAGTGAAGCTAAGCACACGGCTGAGATCAAAATCTAAAGCCAGCATTCGAGTACGGGGCAAAAGCAGTCGTTATACAATGCATCTCTCCCCGCGCCAACCAATCACGTCAAGGTAACAAGTGATTTCGTTTGGGTTTAACTTGTTATTGTTCTTTTGTTTGAGCATGGAACAGGAACGTTCTCCCAGATGCGCGAACAAGGAACAAATACCATCAAAACAATGCACCAGGAAAACATTCCGTATCGTACCATCCTGCAGGTAACGGCCGAGTAAAATCCCCCCCCCCCCCCCAACGAGTCGATGCTTAACGCCATAAAGGGAAAAGACCTGTGTAGACTGGGAGCGAGTCACCGGCCCGAAAAACATACAAATCTCTCTAACATGCAGATAGAACACAAGTGCTTAAAACTCACCTACGCATTCTCCAAAGCAACTATGCGACTGTACAACTAGCTAAAATTTGATCTCGTCCGTACATTAAGATGTCCTGAAGCTTGAGCAAGACTTTCATCGCCCCGCCAATCGATTACATCTCTAAGCCGAGCGATGAAGGGACTAGACAAACTGGGACTCCTCGAATGTACGCACGGATCAAGCGGAAACATGTAATATTCTCCAATGAATAAACAAAGCAGTATGACATTCCTACACGATGCCAAATGTACATAACCACGCCAACGCAAAGGAAATATGCATTCAGTCTCACCTGAACTATTTTCTAAGTCTAAATTCGACCCCGCTCGAATTAGCAGACAAAATTCGACCTCGCTCGAGTTGACAATACAAAATTCGACCTCGCTCGAATTGACAAGATAAAATTTGACCCCGCTAGAATTAACAAGACAAAATTCGACCTCGCTCTAATTAACAGGTCAAATTCGACCTCGCTCGAATTAGCAGGTCAAATTCGACCCCGCTCGAATTAGCAGGTCAAATTCGACCTCACTCGAACTAACAAGCCAAAACTCGACCTTGCTCGAATTAGCATGTCAAATCTGACCTCGCTCGAGTTAACTACCAAAAACCAGGGACTTATTACGAGAAAATTCAAGAAATTCGAAAAGAAAAAGGGGGGGGGGGGTGTAAAGGCATACAATCAAGGGCAAACCAACTATTTTATTTAAAGAAAAAAATAGCGTCCTACAAAGGACCAAAAAGGGGGCCCCCACCCAACCAACTAAGTAGAGGAGAAAAACAAATATACAAGAGCTTCATTCGGTATTATCCCCGTCCACGCCGTCATCTCTCCCTCCTCTTGGTTCAGCAGCTTCACCTCCACCATCACCCTCGCCATCAGAGTGTTCCTCATCAAAGGCAAGCCTGGCCTCAGCCTCATCAACTCCACCGACCTCCGGCATCACAGGATCATAACCACAAGCAAGTCGGGCCTCGCGCGCTTTAGCTCGAGCCTCTTTGAAAGAAACCTCAGAGACATTCCCCGCTGCCAAAAAGACCTTATATATCCCGCTCAACCTCAGCATGAACCCACATCTCGTACAAAGGGCGAGGAACGTCTACAGAGGCAGACGCAGGAGTCGAAGCCAACAATTGCACCTTCTCCGCCTCAAGAGCAGTAACTTGATCACCCAGGCTCGAGACATCTCTCTCAAGCTCGCCAATCGGCTCATCAAGCCGCGCCTCCCTCAGAACGTCCGTCTCCATCTCAGTGGCACGTTCGGACCGGAGAATGCGGATAATACCTTCCAGCGCCGCAGCCTTTACCAAGGCTGCTACACAGGCTCCTTCAACCCTCTCCAGCTCGGTCGCCTTCCTTCCAATTCGGTCGCCTTCTCCGCCAACTCAACACCTAAACTAGCGACCCTAATATCACTTTGCTCAAGCTCCGCCTGCAGGGCCACTACCTTTTCCTGAAGCTCAACACACTCACTGCAGCACCTTTGCCCACCTCGAGCTCTTCTTCCTTAGCCTTAAGTAGCCCTTCGAGTTCGCTGCATCTGCTCATGGACCGCATCAGGTCCTCATCCTTCCGTTCCAACTCCTCCCGAAGGGACTGAGGATTGCCGCCCGCCCTGAGTCGTGCATGCATCTCACGACACTTATCACGGAATCGGTGGTATTTTGAAACCATATTCTGAGAAATGACAGTCCGCCTCTCCTCGCGGCAGTTACTCTCCGTCTCCAAAATAAAGGTCCGAAGAAAGAAAAGAGAACATAAAGAGAAAATTAACAAGAGTAGGAGACATAAAACGAAGAAAGCAATAGACTCACCCTCAAAGCCATTTCGGCTATGCCCCGTGATAGGCCGACATCACTGATCTCCTTATGGGACCTACTTTCAGAAATGGAGCAAAGAAGGGCAAATTGAGGCACTAGGCTCACCGTGTCCTCCAACAAGTCACACTCGGGGGCAATCTCGATCACGAGGGAGGAATCATCCGTACCCGCCTCCACCCGAGTGAATCCCGCCTCAAACATGCTTGTGTCATCGGGGTCAATATCCGAACCGAATTCGTAGTCATCTATGACTACGCCCTTTGCCCTTTCGCTGGCCGAAGAGGGAGCGAAGGCCTATTGCGAAGTCGATGGACCACACGGAATAATCACAGCAGCCTCCGAGTTCTGCCCCTCTACCATGGTAGATTCTTCCACGCCGAAAACGGGCACCACCTCCATGCCCTAGGGGGATACGGTCTCCTCACCTAAAGTGGCATCACCAAACAGACTCAAGCACTACCAACATGGGTTCGATCTTCGAAGGCCCCCCGGTCCTGGGTACCCCATCGACGCTTATTCTTCACCTCTTTAGCGGAGCCTCTTCACCATCGTCCTAAGACGAATCTTCCACCAAATGAACCACGGGAATTGAAGCCTCAGCCTGATGAAAATCCTCACGATGGTCGAGCACGGGAGGGGCCGTAGTCTGTAAAACAGCGACTGTCTGAACGCTCTCACGAGCAGCCGTAATCGGTGTAGGTCCGGTCGAGAGACTCAACTGACGAATAGCAGGCACGAGAGCCCTCGCCCTCCTCGTGCCCCGTTGACCTACCAAAGAAGGAAGTTTAAACCAAAGAGGAAAACATAAAGCAAAGGGCAAAACAACTAAAAGCAAGACGAGATGACTC